CTATTTGAGGCCTGAAGCCGCCAAGTCTTGTGCTTCCAGAGACTGTTTCTGGACCTCTGCCTTGAGTTCACTGATGTTCAGTCTTTCCCCAGGAGATGATTTCTAGAAAAAATTTCAAGTTTGCCAAACATAGATCAGGAAGTGTAGGTCCCAGTCCCATCATGCTTGTCCACCTAGGGACTTTGGACTGGTCCTTCCCCTGCATGGACTTCCCCCTGAGCTGCTACCAAAGAGGAAGCAACACAGACTGTGTGATGCTCAGAAGAAGTGAGGCCTGAAGGGCCATAAAGTACCACATCAGCAAGGACTAGTTTGTATCCAGCTGAAAGCAGAATTGGCCCTGCAGGTGAGAAGGGCAGGAAGGGAAGGTTCGGGGTAGTCCCTATGCCCCAAAGATCCCTGACAATTCCTCATATCCCTATGTACACATGACACTCCTCCCTTCAAGAGATGGAACCATGTCTCCTTCCCTTGAATCTTCTAGGCTGCCTTGTGAACTGCTTTGGCCGGTAGAATGCAGAGGGAGTGACACTGTGCCAACTCGGGGTCTAGGTTCTTGGGGACCAGAGAGCTCCCATTGTATCCTCTTGGAGCCCTAGGCCACCATGTCAAAAGGCTGACCACTCTGCTTTAGAGACCAAATAGGCAGTGAGAACTGCCTTGTTAGCCCCCCTCGCCTCCTGCCTCCCCCAGCTGTTCCAGCCAGCTCAGCTGAAGTAACAACAGGTGGGGGGATCCACCCATGGGTGTCCAGGTCCGAGTGGGCCTCCAAGTCTGCAGCCGCACAAGTAAGTAAGATGAACAGAACAACTGCCCAGCTGAGTCTGCCAGGTGCAGCAATTCCTGAATAAAGAAATGGTTGCTATTGTAAGCCACCACATTTGGGGGCAATCTGTCACACAGTGATGCGTAACTAAAGCAGGCACCATAATGACAGTCACTGTTACTGGAACTTAGCCTTACAAAGTTTGGTGACAGTGGATAGAGGCTTGGATTAGAGTTAGGAGCTCTGGGTTGTATAGTGAGTCGTATGTGAGAAAAATAAATCATGGAAAATCTACTGTCACAATGACGTTTCACTGTCACAGGACATTGTCCCAGGAATGAGCCAATGCCAGTTGGCTGCGCCCATGCCGATGTCCCTCTAGCACAGACTTGAAGCCACCTTGGTTCCAAATGTGCAGGGAGTAAAATTTCACCCATAAATATCTAATTGTTTTCCATTTTCCCTACTCGTCCCCACCCAATTCTCACTCAAAGGACCAGAGATGGAAAACCATGGAAACAAACGGCCTTATGTAGTACTGAATGGGAAGCAGAGCATCTGGAGCTTGGAAAAGCAAAAGCTGTTGTGTTGATAATAACATTTTTATGGGTGGTTTTGTGGTCTTGATTGTTCAAGGAGAGTAGCACAGACTTAATCTGCTCTCCCAGGCCTGAGGGGTTAGTGTCCCTTGCAGAGCTCTACGGGATGTTAGATGTGCTCCCAGCTGAGCCATATACATTCTTCAAATCCCTCCCCTTCCTTCTGTATTGATCACAGTAACTACCAGTTTTTAAGAGCTCCCCATGCCAGCCATGGGGCTGCATAGCTCACCTATGCTCTCAGTGAGCCATCACAATGAACCTTTCTGCTCATACGCACTGTCCCATTTTTACAGATTAGAAAACTGAAGGTCAGAGATATTAAATAACATAGTAAGCTTAACAAGTGGTAAAGGTAGTATTTAAGCTGACGTCTGCAAGGCCCCAAAGCCCATACTTTTAACCATCCCCTAAACTGAGTAGAGCTCCCAGTCCTGACCATTACCAGGACCACTCATTCATGCACATATACATCTATGTATTCAACACATGCATCCATTTATTCAACATATTTAATGATCGCCTACTCTGTATAGGACCAGAGTTTATATCAACTAGCAAAACAGAAACAGTATCCACCCTTATGGACCTAAATAGATGCCCACCATGGCCCTCACCATAAACTCTCACTTCACAACATCCTTCAAACCCTTTCCACAGGTTAACCCCAAATCCCCATTCCCATCCTACATTCCATCCCCCTCTAAAATTCCATAGATGCCCCTGCCTTTGATCTTTGCAATATCCTTGACATAATCTATACCTTGCACACCCCAGGTCCTGCCACAGTATCTTGAGTGAAGGGAAAAGGAGCTATGGATAAGGACAAGGGAGGAAATAGAATAAGTGGTCCTGATGAGGGTCTTACCAGGGACCCAAGAGCAGTATTGCCCAACTTGAGATGAAGAATCAACCAGTGGGAAATCAGAACTGAGTATTTTCTATCACATCCACTTGTGCCCCCAACCTGAGTCTTGAATATTTTCACTAATGTCCCTTTTCTCTCATGCCCCTGTTAACAGCCTTCAGACCTGGCTCTCAAAAAAACTACTTTCTTTTGGAGGGCCATGAATAAGCTAGTGACATGAATGAGCATCTGAGACACTCCCAGCCTCCCTTAAAGGAAGACTTGTGTAGATAGATTACAACATGTTTCCCTGAAATTTCCGACCCTTACCTGTATCCATGCCCTTTGCCATATGACTTGGTAACTCCCTCCACCAGGAGATGAGTCTGTTTTCCCACCCTCTCTGAGTCTAGGCTATCCTGCTGACATTCTGTGGCCAGCAGGCTGCAGCGGAAGTGGCCGTGTGCCCATTCTGAGCCTGCTGTCTCAAGAGGCCTTGCCTGCTTCCGCTCATTCTCTTGCACCTCTGCCTCCACTATGAGTCTGGAGCTCTTATGTGTAAAGTAATATTCTGGGAACTGAAGATAAAGTTGTGAAAGAAACAAACATGCTCCCCATTTGGAGTGAGTTTACATTCTTGTGAATCAAATGAATGATGGATGAGAACATGGGCTCCTCCAGGTTGGAAAGAACCATTATTCAACCTCAAATAATGCTTAAATCTTGCACAATACTCCCATTAAGGTCTTGAACGTTTCCAAAGATGGAGACTCACTATGTACCAGCACAATAGTTCCAGTTTTAGATGGCTCTCACTCCTAGAAAGCTTCTTCTTGTGGGAACAAAGCCCATCCATCAGGAATGCCCACAGTGTGCCTTATGGACCCTCCGCAGGGCCCCAGGCAGCATGGCCAACTGCATATGTACCCTGAGCTTTCTCTCACCCCCCATAAATCTTCCTTATTCCCTTAGCAGTTCCCCAATGTCAGCATTTTGAGGTCTCTTGACATCCTGTCTCGTGAGCTTGTTGTATTATTTTTCTACATTCTTATAAGGTTCAGTTCACAGAAATAAACTAAAAACTTAGCAACCTGGAAGGCTTCAGGCACATTATATCTCTTCTTTGGGATTAAGATTCCTCAGTTTTAAAATGAGGAAACTGGATTCAATCGCTCCCAAGAAGAGACAGCAGTGTGCAATGGAATGAATCCTAGATGCTCAATAAATATCCTTTTCTTCCTCTGATTTATTTCCATCACTGCTGCTGAGCCTGCATATTCCCTTACTATCCATAACTCCCTTTCTACCTATAAAGTCCTACTTTTTAGTACAGGGATTTGAAATCAGAAGACCTGCTTCTGAATCCTAGCTCAGGCACCTGATAGCTAAGAAACTTTGGGCATTTGCTTAACTGCTCTTTCTTAATTTCTCCATCCATAAATCTGGACCATTGCTTCTTTTCCTCCCAGCTCGTGAGAATTAGTCCACAGGCTGGGCCTCGGTGGGAACGCTGTATGGGAAAGCCCTCTTCCATCAGGACGCTATGCAGTTCAGAGATAGCACGTTGGTGCTGTCTTGAAGTGGGGACTCCAGGCAGCAGTGCAGTAGACATCATTCCATTTTTTAGATACATTTATTGAGCCCACTTCCAATACATGTAGCAGCTCTATTTTTACATTAAAATTCAAGACAATTCTAATAATTCTAGAGAAGAGATTGTGTGGCCATAATTATCCCTCCTAATGGGTACATCATGTTCTGTGATATTCTGAGAGAAGAAAGCTATTTAGAAAAATGCCAGGGTAAATATTATCATAGGCAATAGGTGTGGCAGGCTGACAATTCAGGAGGGTAGCAGAGCTCTCCTTGGATGGACCTAAGGTCCAACTGGCCCAAGGCTTTGGCCCCAGGGACAGGTACACCACTGAAGGCCTCTCCCGGATGCCCATTCACCCTCTCCGGGCCACCCTCCACACCATCCTCACATGTTCTCTCTGCTGCCCACCTCTCCTGGGCTCCCACTCCTGCCCCATCAAGCTCGTGCCCTCTGGCAGGGCTCTCAAGCACCTTGGTAAGGCTGTCTTTCCACCTCCCAGTCAGACTTGACAGCATGCAATTCTGTACTGTCCAAATGCCATAAGCCATACAGTTCCTCGCAACCAGGAGTCCTTCTCTCTGCCTTTATTCATCTGATCAAATCTACTCACCCTTTAAAACCCAGTAGAGAATTTGCCTCCTCAGGAATGCCATGCTGATAACCTCCAGAAAGTCAGCTCCATGGAGGTCATTACTTCTTCTGTGTTCACTTTGGACATTAAAGAGCACTGTGTTTACACCCACTGAAATCTGGTTCATCTTGCCTGTCTCCTTCTGGACTATGGGCACAGAATCAAGGCCCCAATGACTGGAGTCTCCAATACCTAACAGTGCTCAGTATATGGAAAATGTCTGGAACAGACTAGAATAAGGTACAAGCATCTCAAAGAAACAAAGATACAGAAAGAGTTTTCCCTAATAAAGACTATTCTCTGGACCCCCACCCCAAAACTGAGCACTATAACCTTTCTATGTGCCTGAGCCCTGGAAGGCAAAGAATGGACCCAGAAAAAAAAAAAAAAAAGAATTTTTCTCAAACTCATGAGACAAGAGTTTATGATTGCAAACAAAGGTGTAAATTGCAGTACAGATTATTTGTCACCAAATCGGGAAAGGGCAGAAAACTGAGCTATTTTTCACAACTTCAAATGTGTGCACAGGTGGGGCTGCTGTGGTGGAAATGCCAGGTCTGTTACACGTAGATACGAGGTGGCGAAAAGGCCTGCTTCTCTGGGTGGGAGGGCTGACGCCGCCACTCATGAGGCTGCTTGGCTGTACAGGATTCTGAAGTAACTGTTTGCTTCATCTGAATATCAAAACCATAGAGCACAGAGGTCAGGGGCCCAGGGACTTGTCTTGAGTTGGGGATTTACTGCCCATTTACAGATTTAATCCTTCTAAAGCCGATCTCTATTTTTAGCTCCTGTTTCATGAAACACAAAAGACCTTTCTTAAGTAAATACTACGTGTTTGGTCAAAAGAGAGAAGAGAGGCAAGTGTTGACCTCAAGGAGCTTATGGACAATGGGAGCACGAGTAAATTGTGTTCACAATCACACACACATGAGGAAAACATGGGGCACTCAATCAGTCAGCTCCTCCTCATTCCCAGGGAAGGACAGCCTGTAGATGCCCGGACGCCTGGTGGAGATGAGATGGGCTGTGCCTGGGGCTGGCAGATGGTTGTTTAGTGCCATGAATCAAACCTGCTCTCTCTAGTATCATTCTGAGAAAGACACACTCCCAAACTGGGATTCATTATTGTGCAATTGCTTTCCTGCAACTATTGGGTGCAGAAAGCCAAATTTCTGAGAACAGCAGAGAAGAGAGAGAAATTTGCTTTATACTAGCAACATCATGACTAATCCCTTTCTCAGAGGAGCTACATGGCATCAAACTGGCGACACGTGACTTATCTCCAGTCCCCTAAGCTCATCTCCCTCTAGTGAATCCAAACGTTACACCAGTGCCAGAGTTCGGCAGCCTGGAGCAGTCATGGAGCAGTGGGACATGCACAGGACCTGTTATCTTTGCATCTTTTTTTTTTTTTTTTTTT